GAGGCACCTACAGCGACTATGCTAGCCTCAGCTGCAAGCAGTTCCTTCTCGAGGAGGGCAATGGTGAGCTCAAAGGGGCAGCGAGCTAGGAAGTGATCTCTAACAGCGCGTAGAGTGTCAGGGAGGCGGGTGACTAGGTGGTAGAGAGTGAGCCTGAGCGGGGGGGGGGGGGGGGTTCTTGGCAAGAAACTCATCGGGCATGGCGGCACGGAAGCGGGCCTCACTAGTACGGAGGTGCGTGATGAGGTGAGCGACTGTGTGGAACGAGGCCAGGTCGGGAAACATGTAGGGGAGTGAGAGACGGCCTTGCGCGGCAGAGGCAGGTGAGGAGTAGCGGGCAACAACAGCGGTGTACAGTGCCTGTGCAGTCTTGTGCTGGCCAAAGTGCTCGCGCTCATCTATCGGCAGGGAGTTGCGCATAGCGAAGCGAGCGTGGGCATCACGAGTCTGCCACTGTGAGTGGGCAGTGGTGTCAGCAGTAGCAGAAGGAGCAGTAGCATGGCCTAGGGCGTGATCGTACAGTGAGATGTCCTCCTTGGCAGTGAGCTGTAGGAAAAGCTGTAGGTCATCTAGCCAGGTATCGAACTTCACTGGGCGGCCCTCAGCATCGAAAGCTAGCACAAGAGGGCTAGCCATAGCAGCAGTAGAGTAGCAGTAGAGTAGCAGTAGTAGCAGTAGGTGCACCCTAAAAACAGTAGGCACTGCGACTCAGGTAGGGCGGCTCGGTCCAGTACGGGCGGCGCGGCTCGGTTCAGGTAGGGCAGCGCGTCTCGGGTAGGGCGGCGCGGCTAGGTTCGGGCGGCGCGGCTCGGTTCGGGCTGGGCGGCTCGGTTTGGGCGGCTCGGTTCGAGCTGGGCGGCTCGGTTCGGGCTGCTCAGTTCGGGCGGCTCGTTCTGGCGGGGCCGTGGGTGTCGCGTGCGGGGTGCTAAGGGGCGGCGCGTGGGGTCGAGGGGGCCGACGGGGCCGCTAAGGGGTGGGCGAGCGCGGGGCATACGGGGCCGACAGGGCCTTTAAACGGGTCGCGCGCGGGGTCGACGGGGCCAGCGGGGCCTCTAAGGGGGTGGCGCACGGGGTCGACGGGGCCAACGGGGCTGCTAAGGGGTGGGCGCGCACGGGGTATAGGGGGCCGACGGAGCCTCTAAGCAGGTCGCGCGCGGGGTTGACGGGGCCAGCGGGGCCTCTAAGGGGCGGCACGCGGGGTCGACAGGGCCAGCGGGGTCTCTAAGGGGCGGTGCGCAGGGCCGACGGGGCCTCTAAGGGGCGGCGCGCGGGTCGCAAAGGGGCGGGTCGCGGGTCGCGGGGCCTTAGGGGGCCGTGAAAGAGAGGCGCACGAGGGCGCTAGGGGGGGAGGCGCTCGAGGGCGCTCCGACAGTAGGGCGCACAAGGGCGCTAGTAGGCAGTCAGTAGAGGTGGGCCCTAAAGATTTCGGTCCTAGCGGAGGACCTGCTCTGAAACCATGTTACGAAGAAGAAGTGGTTGAACTAGAAAGGAATGGGAGTACAAGTACCTAACCCTAGAATGATGTACCCCCTAAAGGCTAACCCACTATAGCCTACACAAATACAACACATATATTGTTTGACAGGGTCACGTGGCTGCGCTTTTCTGGTACTATTACCAAGCCAGCAAGGGCGTGGGAGGGTTGCGAGCATCATCGGTCATCGGCAATCGCGAATGGAAAGCGCCCGCTGCACTTCCTGCACATGTGCGTATCCTTCCGCATTTTGGGGTTGGAAGCGCTTGTTTCGAGCGTTTTTCTTCTGCCGGGTCACATGGCTGCGCTTCTCTGGTCCTATTACCAAGCCAGCAAGGGCATGGGAGGGTTGCGAGCATCATCGGTCATCGGCGATCGCGAATGGAGAGCGCCCGCTGCACTTCCTGCACATGTCCGTATCCTTCCGCATTTTGGGGCTAAACGCGCTTGTTCCGAGCGTTTTTTTTCCGCCGGGTCACGTAATTGCACTTCTCTGGTCCTATTACCAAGCCCCAAAGGGCATGGGAGGGTTGCGAGCATCATCGGTCATCGGCAATCATGAATGGAGAGCGCCCGCTACACTTCCTGCACATGTGCTGATCCTTCCGCATTTTGAGGCTGGAAGCGCTCGTTCCGAGCGTTTTTCTTCCGCCGGGGTACATGGCTGCGCTTCTTTCGTCCTATTACCAAGCCAGCAAGGGCATGGGAGGGTTGCGAGCATCATCGGTCATCGGCGATCGCGAATGGAGAGCGCCCGCTGCACATCCTGCACATGTTCGTATCATTCCGCATTTTGGGACTGGAAGCGCATGTTCCGAGCGTTTTTCTTCCGCCGGGTCATGTAACTGCGCTTCTCAGGTCCTATTACCAAGCCAGAAAGGGCATGGGAGGGTTGCGAGCATCATTGGTCATCGGCAATCGTGAATGGAGAGCGCCCGCTACACTTCCTGCATATGTGCGTATCCTTCCGCATTTTGGGGCTGGAAGCGCTCGATCCGAGCGTTTTTCTTCCGCCGGGTTACGTGGCTGCGCTTCTCTGGTCCTATTACAAAGCCAGCAAGGGTGTGGGAGGGTTGCGAGCATCATCGGTCATCGGCGATCGCGAATGGAGAGCGCCCGCTGTGAGAAGAAACAAGGAATGAATGAACTATGAATGAATTGGGTACAAGTACTAACCCTAATTGGGTTGTACCCCTTATGGGCTACCCCACTATAGCCTACACAATATGCATAAGCTTTAATGTTCTGACACACCCCCATAGGCAAAGTGGGGGAGAACAAGGGGTCACAAGACCAGTCAAGCAAAGCAAAGCAAAGCAAGCTCAGGGTGGATCACAAAGTCACCACACATTCCGAGCACAAGTTCAAGGCCACAAGGCCAGTTCACATGCAGGAGTACATATATATAAAAAGTCTAGACAAGCAAGAGCACGTGAATATATATATGTAACAGTACAAGCAAGGTCAAGAGGTGAGCAAGTGAGGCAAGGCACGCATAAGGCCCAGCTGAGTACAGAAGCGCTGATGGTCACAAGGCGTAAGCGCCTTGGTGAAGATATCAGCAGTGTTGGCCTCAGAAGCCATGTACGCAAGACGCAGCTGACCACGCTGCTGCAGCTCACGAGCAAGAAAGTAGCGGAGAGCGATGTGCTTCGTTCTCTGCTCCAGTTGCCAGCATGGCCTTGTTGTCTACGTACAGCACTGGAGGAGAACGAGGCGGCTATCCGAGGTCAGTCAGGAGGTAGGTGAGCAAGCGAAGCTCCTGTGCAGCCATGGCTCCTGGGTAGATCTTAGCCTCACAACTGGAGCCGAGAAGAGAAGATGAGCAAGTAGCCCGCCGGAACCAAGGCTGAAGGTGTAACCCTGTGACGACCGCTGCGTAGCCTGGTTGTCAGCCCAAGAAGCGTCTGCGTGCCCAGTGAGGACCACTGGACTCTGCCCTCCAAAGACAAGCCCCATGCCCGACGTACTGCACAAGTAGCGCAACACCCTCTTCGCTGCAGCCATGTGCTCTGGTCTGTGTCTCCCAGGAGCAACATAGCGTGCGAGAATGCTTAGAGGGTATGCAAGGTCAGGTCGTGTGCAGGTCATCAGGTACACGAGGCAGCCAACAAGCTCTGGGTACGGGCCACTCGACTCTACGGACTCATCCGAAGGCAGAGCTGAGAGCGAGTGGCGAGTAGGCAGAGGAGTGGCCTGAGGCGAGGAGTACGTGAAGTCGAAGCGCCGAAGGACCTGCTGCACCATGTGTGACTGAGTCAGGGTAATGGTGCGGCGTGCTCTGTCCCGAGTGATCTGCAAGCCAAGGTAGCTGCGCAGTTCACCCAGGTCAGTGCACGTGTGTCTCTTCTGCAGCTTGGACTTCACGTGGGCGAGTCCAGCAGTGTCAGCTGTGGCAAAGACCAAGTTGTCGACGTACATGACGATGTAGAACGGCGGCAGAGAAGTGTCGGTGCGCAGAAACAGCGACGGGTCGGCAGTAGAGGGAGCAAACCCAAGAGCCACAAGTGTAGTTCTCAGTGTGTCGTGCCACTCACGCGGTGCCTGGCGGAGACCGTAGACTAGCCGCTGAAGGCTCCACTGGGTGCCAGGAGGAAAAGTCCCAGTGAAGCCAAGTGGGCGGCGCAGCCAGATCTCCTCGTGCAGGCTGCCCTGCAAGAATGCAGTGCTGAAGTCAAGAGAGTGTAGCTCGTAGTCACGTTGAGCAGCTACGTGCAGCAGTACCCGAAGAGTGGTCATCTTCGGGGTGGGAGAGAAGGTCTGAAAGTAGTCAACTCCCTGCCGCTGACTAAAGTCACGAGCCACGTAACGGGCCTTGAAGACAGGCGGAGAACCCGGCGGTCGCTTCACCCTGAAAATCCACATGCCACTGACGATGTTCGCCCCAGGAGGGGGAACAGCGTCAACGTAGGTGCCTGTGGACTTCCAGGAAGCCATCTCTGCGTCCATAGCTGCCTGCCACTGAGAGGAGTAGGGACCCTCTATCGCCTCCGCGTAAGAGCGCGGAGTCGGGATGTCAAGTGCATCCGGGTCTCCCTCAGGGGTAAGCAGTACGGACACGAGATGAGGTGAAGCAGTGGCCAAGCATTGGAACTCCTCCTGCCTGTCCTCAAGGACGTCCGTGCCAAGGGCACACTCACCCCCGACGGACGTAGGACAGACAGACTCAGACTCGGCAACAAGACTGGCGGCATAGTCTAGGCGACAGCAAGCAGCAAAGTCGACGAGCTCAGCAACCAGGGCAGACGCAGCAGTGGACTCAAAGGAAGGGTCAGTGACAACAGTAGCAAGGAGACGCGTGACAGTAGGACTGGCAGCACGAAGAGAGTCCAACTCCGGGTCGGCAAGGGCAGGAAGAGAGGACTCAGGAGGAGAAGGCTAAGGGGCACGTAGAGGAGCAATGGACGGACGCAGAGACATTCGGTGCGTGCCAGGGACAGGAGGAGGACGCTGACGTGAGCCGCGACCACTAGTGCGAGCTGCACGGACAGGCGACGCAGGGCGACCTCGACAGGCTCAACAGCGTCTACCTGGGACACACCTGAAGGGGCAGGACCCTGAGGGGGGAGGGGGTCCACCGGAGGGTGACCTGGCACAAGGAAGAGCGGTGGCGGGGGGAGGGACGGAGTGCGGTAGGGGAAGAGACGGTAGTAGGGGACTGTCTCGTCGAACGTGACGTCCTGGAAGGACAGAACACGGCGAGAGGTGGGGTGGTAGAACTGCCACCCTGACGCGTCAGGGGGGAAACCCACGAAGACGCAAGGAGCAGCACGAGGGGAGAGCTTGTACGCAGAAACGTCCGCGTCCACGTCCACGTCCACGTCCGCGTCCACGTCCGCGTCCACGTCCACGTCCACGTCCACGTCCTCGTCCTCGTCCACGTCCACGACCACGTCCACGTCCACGTCCACGTCCACGTCAACGACCACATCCACGTCCACGACCACGTCCACGTCCACGTCCGCGTCCACGTCCCCGTCCACGTCCACGTCCACCACCACGTCCACGTCCACGTCCATGTTCACGACCACGTCCATGTCCACGTCCACGTCCACGTCCACGTCCTCCACGTCCACGTCCACGTCCTCCACGTCCACGTCCACGTCCATGTCCACGTTCACGACCACGTCCACGTCCACGTCCACGACCACGTCCACGTCCACCTCCACGTCCACGTCCACGTCCACGTCAACGTCCACGTCCACGTCCACGACCACGTCTAGGTCCACGTGGACGTCCAGGTCCACGTCCACGTCCACGTCCAAGTCCAGGTCCACGTCCACGTCCACGACCACGTCCACGACCACGTCCACGTCCACGACCACGTCCACGTCCACGTCCACGTCCACGACCACGTCCACGTCCACGACCACGTCCACGTCCACGTCCAAGTCCACGTCCACGTCCATGTCCACGTCCACGACCACGTCCACGACAACGTCCACGTCCACGTCCACGTCCACGTCCACGTCCACGACCACGTCCACGACCACATCCACGTCCACGTCCACGTCCACGTCTACGTCCACGTCTACGTCCACGTCCACGACCAAGTCCACGTACACGTCCACGACCACGTCCACGTACACGTCCACGACCACGTCCACGTCCACGTCTACGTCCACGTCCACGTCCAAGTCCACGTCCACGTCCATGTCCACGTCCACGTCCACGTCCACGACCACGTCCACGTCCACGTCCAAGTCCACGTCCACGTCCAGGTCCACATCCAAGTCCACGTCCACGTCCTCCATGTCCAAATCGTCCACGTCCACGTCCACGTCCTCCACGTCCACGTCGTCCACGTCCACGTCCACGTCCACGTCCACGTCCACAACCACGACCAAGTCCACGACCACGTCCACGTCCACGTACACTACCACGTCCACGACCACGTCCACGTCCACATCCACTACCACATCCACGTCCACGTCCACCTCCACGTCCACGACCACTTCCACGTCCACGTCCACGTCTACGTCCAAGTCTACGTCTACGTCCACGTCCACGTCCACGAACACGTCCACGTCCACGACCACGTCCACGTCTACGACCACGTCCAGGACCACGTCCACGTCCACGTCCAGGTCCACGTCCACGTCCACGACCACGTCCACGTCCATGTCCACGTCCAAGTCCACATCCACGTCCACGTCCACGACCACGTCCACGTCCACGACCACGTCCACGTCCAAGTCCACGTCCACGTCCACGTCCAAGTCCACGTCCACGTCCAGGTCCACGTCCACGTCCACGTCTACGTCCACGTCCACGTCCTCCACGTCCACGTCCTCCACGTCCACGTCCACGTCCACGTTCACAACCACGACCAAGTCCACGACCACGTCCACGTCCACGTCCACTACCACGTCCACGACCACGTCCACGTCCACGTCCACATCCACGTCCACGTCCACGACCACGTCCACGACCACGTCCACGTCCACGTCCACGTCCACGTCCAAGTCCACGTCCACGTCCACGACCACGTCCACGTCCACGTCCAAGTCCACGACCACGTCCACGACCACGTCCACGTTCACGTCCACCACCACGTCCACGACCACGTCCAGGTCCACGTTCACGTCCACGTCCACGACCACGTCCACGTCCACGACCACGTCCACGTCCACGTCCACGACCACGTCCACGACCACGTCCACGTCCAGGTCCACGTCCACGTCCACGTCCAGGTCCAGGTCCACGTCCACGTCCAAGTCCACGTCCACGTCCACGTCCAAGTCCACGTCCACGTCCACGTCCACGATCACGTCCACGTCCACGTCCACGACCACGTCCACGACCACGTCCACGTCCACGACCACGTCCACGTCCACGACCACGTCCACGTCCACGTCCACGACCACGTCCACGACCACGTCCAAGTCCACGACCACGTCCACGTCCAAGTCCACGACCACGTCCACGTCCATGTCCAAGTCCACGTCCACGTCCACGTCCACGTCCTCGTCCACGTCCACGTCCTCGTCCACGTCCACGTCCAGGTCCACGTCCACGACCACGTCCACGTCCTCCACGTCCATGTCCACGTCCTCCACGTCCACGTCCACGTCCTCCACGTCCATGTCCACGTCCTCCACGTCCACGTCCACGTCCTCCACGTCCACGTCCACGTCCTCCACGTCCATGTCCAGGTCCAGGTCCACGTCCACGTCCAGGTCCACGTCCAGGTCCACGTCCACGTCCAGGTCCACGTCCAGGTCCACGTCACGTCCACGTCCACGTCCACGTCCACGTCCACGTCCAGGTCCACGTCCACGTCCACGTCCACGTCCACGTCCATGTTCAGGTCCACGTCCACGTCCACGTCCAGCACATCCACGACCACGACCACGTCCACGTCCATGTCCACGACCACGTCCACGTCCAGCACATCCACGACCACGTCCACGTCCACGTCCACGTCCACGTCCTCCACGTCCACGTCCACGTCCACGTCCACGTCCACGTCCACCTCCACGTCCACGTCCACGTCCACGTCCAGGTCCAGGTCCACATCCACGTCCATGTCCAGGTCCACGTCCACGTCCACGTCCACGTCCAGCACCTCCACGACCACGTCCACGTCCACGTCCACGACCACGTCCACGTCCAGCACATCCACGACCACGTCCACGTCCACGTCCACGTCCTCCACGTCCACGTCCACGTCCGTCCACGTCCACGTCCACGACCACGTCCACGTCCACGTCCACGTCCACGTCCATGTCCACGTCCACGACCACGTCCACGTCCACGTCCACGTCCACGACCACGTCCACGTCCACGTCCACGTCCACGTCCACGACCACGTCCACGTCCACGTCCACGTCCACGTCCACGTCCATGTCCACGTCCACGTCCACGTCCACGTCCACGTCCACGACCACGTCCACGTCCACGTCCACGTCCACGAGCACGTCCACGTCCACGTCTACGTCCATGTCCACGTCCATGTCCACGACCATGTCTTCGTACACGTACACGACCGCGTCCACGTACACGTCCACGTCCACGACCATGTCTTCGTCCACGTCCACGTCTTAGTCGTCCACGTCTTAGTCCTCCACGTCCACGTCCACGACCACGACCGCATCCACGACCACGACCGCATCCACGTCCACGTCCAGGTCCACGTCCAGGTCCACGACCACGTCTACGTCCACGTTCACCACCACGTCCACGTCCACGTCCACGTCCACGTCCACGTCCCCGTCCACGACCACGTCCACGTCCACGTCCAGGTCCACGTCCACGTCCACGTCCACGACCACGTCCACGTCCACGTCAACGTCCACGTCCACGTCCACGTCAACGTCCACGACCACGTCCACGTCCACGACCACGACCACGTCCACGTCCACGACCACGTCCACGTCCACGACCGCGTCCACGTACACGACCGCGTCCACGTACACGACCGCGTCCACGTACACGTCCACGTCCACGTCCACGTCCATGACCACGTCCACGTCCACGTCCACGTCCACCACGTCCACGTCCACGTTCACGTCCACGTCCACGTCCAGGTCCACGTCCACGTCCACGTCCAAGTCCAGGTCCACGTCCACGACCACGTCCACGTCCATGTCCAAGTCCACGTCCACGTCCACGTCCACGACCACGTCCACGTCCACGTCCACGTACCACGTCCACGTCCCCGTCCACGTCCACGTCCACGTCCACGTCCACGTCCACGTCCACCACGTCCACGTTTCACGTCTACGTCCACGTCCACGTCCACCACGTCCACGACCACGTCCACGTCCACGTCCACCACGTCCACGTCCACGACCACGTCCACGTCCACGTCCACGTCCACGTCCACCACGTCCACGTTCCACGTCCACGTCCACGTCCACGTCCACGTCCACGTCCACCACGTCCACGTCCACCACGTCCACGTTCCACGTCCACGTCCACGTCCACGTCCACCACGTCCACGTCCACGTCCACATCCACGACGATGTCCACGTCCACGTCCACCACGTCCACGTCCACCAAGTCCACGTTTCACGTCCACGTCCACGTCCACGACCACGTCCACGTCCACCTCCACGTCCACGTCCACCATGTCCACGTCCACGTCCACGTCCACGACCACGTCAACGTCCAGGTCCACGTCCACCACCACGTCCACGTCCACGTCCACGACCACGTCCACGTCTACGTCCACCACCACGCCCTGCCGCGGGCCCTCCCTTCGCGCCGCCGCGCCTGCCTGTTAGGCCCGCCGCCACGCCTGCCCATTAGCCCGCCGCCACGACTGCTTGTTAGGCCCACCGCGGGCCCTCCCGCCGCGCCCGCCCGTTCCACCCACCGCTGCGCCCGCTCGTTAGGCCCGCCCCTTGCGCCTGCCATGCCTGCGTTTTATGCCCGCCGCGGGCCTGCACTCGCTGCCCGCTGTCTCTCCCCGTGACACCCGCCGCGCCTGCCCGTACCACCTGCCACGCCTGCCCCTAGAGCCTGCCGCAGCCCTGCCCTTTGAGCCCCCCGTGGGCCTGCGTTCTTCCGATTGCCACCTCTTCCTTTTGCTTGTTGCGGGCCTGCCCTTAGAGCTCGCCATGACAGCCTTGTAGGGTCCTTTGCTTTGACGCCGCCGTTTTTGCTTTCGCTATGGCGACCCCTAGGGTCCTTCGCTTTGACGCCGAGGGTAGGCCCCTCGAGCTCTCTGTCTGGCTCCAGCGTGCGCAGCGTCTCCTAGAGAGTCAAGTGTAGACAAACGAGTCTCTATGGGCGCACGCATCCGGTGACCTCCCTGCGCCCCCCGCTCCTGCTACCCTAGGACTTTACGCTACCCCTGAGGACAGAGAGCAAGTTGCGCGTTAGCGTGCTGACCTGACTGCCTGGCGATCGCGCGACGCTGCGGCCAGCATCGCCCTCAGCAGCCTCCTCCCTGAGTCCGAGGAGACCCATTTCGCACAGATTTGCACGGCTAGTGAGTTCCTCACTGCGATTAAGGCCCGCTATGCTACTCCTTCCACCGTCTCTCTTGGCCGCCTGTTCCTCCCCTTCCTGTTCCCTGATCTCGCCTCTTTTGAGCGCTCTGCTGACCTGATTTCTCACCTGCACTCACTTGACGCTAGCTTTCGCGCTGCTTGCACTGACGCACAGCTTGCACTGCTGCCTCCCCCCGTGGTGATCACTATCTATTTCATCGCCACTAGCCTCCCTGACCGCGTTGCTTCGGTTTGTGACGCGCTTCTTCTGGAGCACCTTAGCGAGCTCACTATCGGCGTCCTTGAGTCTGCTCTCAAGGACGTCGAGAGCAACCTCCGCTCGATAGCCTCCACCTCTGGTGCTGTGCCCCCACTGTTTCACGGGTGCACGGTCCCTCAGCTGCCCACCTTCACTGCCTCCCTTGCCACTGCCACGACTGACGTGACCGCCGCTACTGCTACAACTTCTTCGCGGTCTAGGTGACAGAGTGGTAGGAGGGGCGGACAGGGTGCGGGCGGCGGTGGTGGTGGTGGCGGAGGTGGAGCTGCGGGTGGAGGTGGCGTGGCGAGCGGCGGTGGTGGGAGTACAGAGGGTGGAGGAGCGCCTTGTGCAGCAGCTAGTGACTCCCCTGCTGCAGCTAGTGGAGGTGACGCTCGGGTACGTCAGGCACCGAATGGTCCACCAGCTGCAGGAGCAGGAGTGGCGGCTTGGTACTTGACTCAGCAACAGCAGCAACCCCTCCCCTCGCAGTAGCCACAGCAGCAGCAGAGGCAGCAGCATGTTCCGGGGCAGGGGTGAGGACCGCGTCAGCTGTCGCGTTGTGCCGTCCACCCTCCCTACATCTATCACGTTCTGATAGGTGCCCGCCAAGGCCAGCCTTGTAGCCACAGCCACCCGCCAGGTCAGTGTTTTGCTCAGCTGACTGACACGGTTTGGTTGGCCTACGGCGTTGATGGCCCTGTTCTTGACTGGCTTCCCCTTGTTCAGACGTACGGCCCCGCTCTGTGGGGCATGTCAGCTTCTCAGTTGGTTGATCTCTTAGGAACTCCTCATGCTATGTATGCTATTGTTGATTCTATTGCTTCTGACTCTGTTTACTTGAGTGTTGGTGCTAGTCTTGCTGAGGTGCCTGTTGCTAGTGTAGGTACGTGTGTAGACACTAGTCTAGGAGCTGCTCCGGAGGACGCTTCGCTGTAATTCACTCTGGACTCCGGAGCTTCGCACTGTTTCTTCCGCGACCGTACGACCCTTACATTGCTTCCTATACCAGTCTCTGTAGCACTGGCTGATCCCACTTCGGGACCACTCACTGCTTGCTACACTACGACGCTTCCGTGCCCGGCTGTTCCCTCCGGTTCCGTACGTCCCCTCGTTCTCGAGGAACTTGGTGGGCGTGAGGCCGCTCGTGGGTCAGCACGTGGGTGTGTGGATTGAGCCTTTTGGCGAGACTGCGGTTTGTGTCGACGGAGACACGTACGCGCCTCTCGCCACCTTTACTGCCGAGCTGGGCTCTGGTCTCTACACACTTCACACTGGCCCCCACGGGCAGCAGCAACAGCAGCAGCAGCAGCATCACCAGTAGCAGCAGCAGCAGCAGCAGCAGCGGCGGCGGCGGCGGCAGCACCAGCATCACCAATAGCAGCTACTGCCCCCGGGCCCTGTCACTGCCCCCCGTCAGGTTCCCGCGTCTCACCAAGTTGCCCCATCTCCCCAGGTAGCTGTGTCTAGTTAGGTTCCACGATCTAGTCAAGTTGCTGCGTCTTGCTCCTGCCGGTCATTTGCCCACCCCACCGTTCTGTGGCACCACCGGATGGGGCACCCGTCCATTCCTCGTCTGGGAGCTATGTCTAGTCAGCGCCTTCTCTTAGGCCTCCCGCATGTTTTGCCGTCGCTGCCGCCTTCACTTGCCCCACCTTGCAGTCCTTGCGTCGAGGGTCGGCTGCGCGTCACCCCTCACTCCTCCTCCCTTCGTTCGGCCACCGAGCCCTTCGAGACTCTCCACTTGGACGTCTGGGGCCCTGCCCCTCACCCTGGCCCTGAGCGAGATAGTTTCTTCCTGGTGGTCGTTGACGACTACTCTCGTTACACCACAGTGTTCCCTCTGGCAAAGAAGTCTGAGGTGACTTCTACGCTGATCCGGTGGTTGCTTACCACTGCGGACACTCGTGGTCGTCGTGTCAGCTGTCTTCACTCCGACCGTGGGGGTGAGTTTCGCTCCGTCATTCTCGCTGGATTCTGACGCGACAGGGCATCCGTCAGTCTTGGACGCTTCCAGGGTCCCCACAGTAGAATGGGGTTGCTGAGCGCCGCATAGGCTTGGTCATGGAGATTGCACGCACCTCCATGATCCATGCCCGTGCGCCCCATTTTCTGTGGCCCTATGCGGTTTGGTACACCGCTCACCGGCTGAACCTCTGACCACGTGTCTCTCGGCCAGAGGCTTCACCGACCAGTCTTTGGACCGGGTCCCCTAGTGTTGCGTCGTGTTTTCGTGTCAGGGGCTGCTTGGCACTTGTTCGCGACACCTCCGCGGATAAGTCTCCTCGCGCCCTTTGCTGTGTCTTCCTTGGTTTCCCCGTTGACTCCTCTGACTTCACCTTTTGCCACCCTCCCCTTCACCGGATCTTAGACTCCCGCGACGTTCGTCAGTCCCCTACTACACCTGGCACCCTTGTCGAGGTCTTTCGGTACCTCCTCCCCCTCTCTTCCTGACTCCTGCCCCCCCTCCTGCCCCTCCGGTACAGCCCCCTCCCCCTGGTCCAGCCCCGTGTGTCACACTCTACCCCTCCCCCCTCGATAGCCCCTCAGGTGTCGTCCCCTTGCCTCAGTCCTCCTCCCAGCCTACAGCAGACCCTGCGGGAGCTGGTTTTTGTGGCGAGGACCCTGGAGGTGCTAGCTCTAGAGGTGCTGGAGTTAGAGCAAAGAGCGTACTTGTGTGAGGTCCTGGTTCTGGGGGTGCTAGAGTTGGAGCTGAGCCCGTGTCTGCATGTGACTCTAGTCTTCGGGGAGCTGTTGTTAGTGGAGCTGTCCTTCGGGGTGCTACGACTGGGGGTGCACCCTCTGCTGGACCAGGAGAGCCCGGGACGGGCCCTGTTACTTCTGGTGGTGCTGGCTATTAGATGCACGTCATTCTGAGTGCATGTCATCCTAACGTCCTGCAGAGTGCTCGTGCTATTCATGCGTGCATTGTTTGCATGAGCATATCTCATTGTGCATGGCTGTTGGATATTTTCATCTCTGTGTTTTTCTCCAAGTTTAAATGCTTGATCATACAGGAGAAATCCAGAGCTTTCCAACGATACCAAGATCGCCTTATTCCGACCAAGATCGCCCAAGTTACAAGATTTCCAAGCTTTGGGAATTCTATCTCATTTCGAGATATTATCTGCATTGGACGATTATTGGGACATGACTATAAAGGGATCTTTGGTTGGGTGGTTAGGAAGGCAACTTGACTTTTGGATTGGGGTGGCTAGAAGTTTCTAGCATGGGTTGCAAATGTTGCAACACCTAGGCAAAATCCAACTAGATTGGATTTTGCATGTGACACCTCAAGGACCTCATGATGAGGGTTGCATCCTTGCTGCTAGGAAGGTTCCTACCATCCTTCCCTAGCTCTTGAAAAACCCCTTCCCTCTTATGGTTCTCT